ATATAATTTAAATTTTAATCAGCCATTCTATTTATTTTTCACAAAAATAAACCAAATGCTTATTTTGCTTTGTAAAGCAACATATAATACCTTAAATACCAATTGATTATGGGACCATTAGTTATCTGAGCTTTTGTTGTTAATGTTGCATTAAGACAGCAATTCTGAATCTGTGGGTCACGGCCCCTTTGGAGGTTGAGTGACCCTTTCACAGGGGTCACATATCAGATATCCTGCATAGCAGATGTTTACAAGTTAGTTATAACAAGGAGCAAATTTACAGTTGCAAAGTAGCAATGAAATTATTTTATGGTTGGGGGTCACCACAACATGGTCAAAGCATTAGGAAGAGTAAGAAGCACTGTGTTAAGGTTTTTAAAAAGAAGTGAGTAATAGAGCTATTATCATTGATTTATTACAGAAAAATATCTTTTTTCCTTAGCTAGTGTGAAATCGGTGTTCTCTCCCCATTTTCTGAGTATTTAGGCTATACAATGAGAGCTAATTTTCTGAATGATAGTCACAAGACTGTGCAGGAGTCTCACTTAACAAAGAAAGATTCATTATGTTCTATGCTACATTTGCCACGAAATAAATTTCAGGGAATATTTAATGTACTGCTGGGGGAAAAGTTGCAGTTACCTCCAGTTAGGTACATGAGCACATCTGGTTAGCTCCCAATACCCATCAGTCCCCACAAGCACCTGTGCAGTGTGGATTTGCAGTCATTAGTTCGCAGACCCTGTGCAGTGAGGATTTACAGTCATCAGTGCACAGCGCTTATGCAGTGTGGATTTACAGTCATCAGTCCATAGTGCCTGTGCAGTGTGCATTTACAGCGATCAGTGCACAGCGCCTGTGCAGTGTGCATTTACAGTCATCAGTGCACAGCACCTGTGCAGTGTGGATTTACAGCCATCAGTCAACAGCACCTGTTCACTGCAGATTTACGACACTTTTAGTGTTTGGGAGTGTCTATAATTGCCATGTTTACTCCATAATCAGATGATGTTTTTAATTAAAAATTTGAGTTAAGAAAATTATACATCTGGTATTTGAATCACCAATACTGCTGAGTAAAGTCAGCGAATTAAGCAATATACAAACCAGGAATACCAACTAGCCTGAGGAGACTGCTTAGCTTTGGAGATTGCAGCTGTTTTGTGAAAAGTTTTAAACATCTGATGAGTGTGATGGGTGGTTGAATCAGATGATTCCTGTCAAGCCTGCCTTCTTGTGAGTCAGGGGTGATAAGAATTAACTGGCCAGATCATGAGGCTCTTTGTTTCCTTATGGGTTGAAGGTAAAACAGTAAAGTCTGCATCAGGGCAAAAACATCACAATAACTAAATAATTGCAGCAAGGTAGCAAGCTTCCTGAAAGCTAATTCTGTTTAGTATCTAGGCAATGATAACACTTAAAAGATGTTACTTTCTTTTAATGTAAACCTTCAACTCTTGTTTACCAAAACCAAAAGAAAAGAAAAAAATAGCAACAGAAAAACACCTTTTATCCTATGAGAATAATTTCAGCTGCTTACACACACACACACACACACACACACACACACACACACACACACACACAAAACCGGTAGTATCTGTCCCATGGTACTTGGGAAATCGCTGAATGCCAGTCATACCAGCTTTCCTAGTGTCTTCTCGAGCAGAATAGCTTGCACAAGATGTCCAATAAACAGCTGCTCTCAAATTTGAGAAGCCATTACTGGCTTTGGGAAAGCATAGAACTACTGAGACAGTGAAGAAATCAAATGACCCAGGGAGATGACTCTATGGGTAAATCACCTGCAGCACAGCAGTGAGGCCAGGATTTCATATGCTGGCACCAAAGAAATGCTAAACAGGCTTGGTTGCCACCCTATGAACCCTGTCCCCAGAGATGGAGCCAAAGGATTGATTCTGCTGGGGCAATCAGACTACCTGAGTCTGCAAGCTTAGGTCCTAGTGACAAACTCTGCCATATATGTAAAGGGGAAAGTGGTCAAGTCAAAACCACATTGGCAAGTGCTGGCCACCATGTTCCTATGCTTCCATGCATATATGAACACACATACAACAATGAAAATAAAACTGAATGCCTGAATAGATCTAAACATCTATAGCAAAAAATGCTCTATATAATTAATATTCTTCCCAGAACATTTTGTTATGTTTTCTCTCAAAAAAATTATATATTTCTAAATATTGAAGAGTTTGGTAAACTGGGGAATCCTTCCCCTCCTTCTGATTTGTTTTTCCATCATCTGGCACCCACATAACCAACCCCTCTTCTTGCTGAGCCTGGCTCTTTCAGGAATCTTTTACTCCTCAACAGATCTCACCATCTTTCACATCTGCTCTCCTGATATATGATTTCCTTCACACTGTTCAGAATTGGACTGTGGTTTCTTCCTCATATCCAACCTCCCCAATTTGTGTGTATGCATGTATCCTCTTTTAGAATGCATTTTATATCATTTACAGCTGTATCCCCATAGGCCAGCTAATGCTTCCTGATATGCATTCCATAGACATTCATAAGATATAGAAAAGAGTATGATGGCATTGACGTAATTAGAACAAGAAGTGATACATAGTCTTTCATCTGAGACAAACACAAGAGAAACAGAAATAAAAAAAATCTTCATGCGGATAGAAGAGCCTCTAAATAATAGGGCACAGCTAAAAACTCCTAAATATGGAAGAGGTCCTGACTCAGGACCGTGACTGCTTTTTGGTTCATAAGTAGGCACCTGTGAGGGAGGCCCCATGGACCCATGATCTCTTTACAGTACAGAACAGTTTACAATAGAGAAAATGTGTACACAGGAGTTCTTCCCAATCACCCTTGTCTTCAGACTCTCTACTTTTAGGTAGGTGCATGTTTGGGTGGTGGGGGCTGCTGTGCCCCAGGGTCAAAGAGAGACATATTTAGCTTCTGGGATGCCCTGCACTTTACTATAGAGTCAATGTCAATCTGGTTTCCTCAGAGGTCCATTTCCCTCATGTGGTCTATGGTCTAGTACCCAGCCTTTTATTTTATATTTCTGTTTGCATGTAAACTTCGTCTTTGACAGGACCCACATTAAATGGGACCATCTAACCCCATTTCCTTCTTCCCTATTACTCAGTCTTCAGTTTTCAAGCTCTACTAATATCTCCTTCTCAACTTCCTGAGCACCTCTTTGCTGCCCCATATCCTTCATACACTGCAAGAAGCCCTGTCCTATGTTAATTAAATGAAACACAACAGCAATCACAATGTGTCTCAATCTTTTTTACTCCATTTTCTTCCTACCATAGGTTACTGTTCTTCCTCTTTCTTCTTTGTCTCTCAATTTGTCTGAAATGAGGTTTTCTCACCCAGAAAAATGTTCCTCCTTCTGCATTCAGCTTGTGTACAGTTGTCAGTGCTAATGATGCGCCCCCTCCCTCAGGTCACGATTTCTCATCTACCCTCAGTGGCAGGGACCTAAGTGGCCTGCTAACAACACAGCATTGTCTTGTCATGTCCACATCACATCCTCACTGTTTCACCACTTCAGAGACAAGAACAAGCGTTTGAATAAAGGTCTACAGCTAACAGACTGAATAGTAGCATGTTTAAGAGAACTGAGATGTTCTACATAGGCTGTATTAAGTAGATTTTGAAGATCCAGCCCTGGAACCCACTAGTTTTGAGTAATTATTTCTATGGAAACAGACATTCTAAGTTCCAAGCAGCGCATACACACATGGACCTGTTACCTTGAGACTCCATGGGGCCATCAGCTGACACTGGGGCTGGGAGGCAGCCCCCATTCTGGAAACTGGCTTGGCCGTTCTGAGGGTTGGATGAGTTTTGTACCAAGGTGCGAGAGGCAAGTCAGTCATTCACCCCAACCAACACCAGTCAGCCAGTGATCCATCAGATGTTTTCTGCCAACGTGGCTCTCGTGAGTGTTTACCATGCTGATAACTGTGTACTGTGTGCGTCGGGACCTCACAGAGGTAACCTTTTCCCTCCAGGTCAGCCCTGACTTTGAGCTCTGCAACTTCAGAGTCCTCTGTGAGCTTGAGTCTGGTGTGCCTGCTGAGGAGATTCAGTTCATCTACATGGAGCAGCTCCTCACAGATAACCACTGCTCGCTGGGTACCTATGGCCTCAAAGATGGTGATATGGTTGTACTACTTCAGAAGGACAATGTGGGACTTCAGGCTCCAGGAAGGACTCCAAATCAGCCTCAGGCAGATTTCACTGGATCAGCTGTGGCAGGAACAAGCTCCCGACACCAGCATCACCAAGAGCAACGGATACCATCAACACAAACCCATGGATTGGCCTCTGGAGAGAATATGGCCCGTGCTCAGAATCTTAACAGTCCTGCTCTGATTCGCAGCATGCTGCTTTCCAACCCCCACGATCTGTCCTTGTTGAAGGAACGGAATCCTGCTTTGGCTGAAGCTCTGCTTAGTGGAAACCTTGAGACATTTTCCCAGGTCCTGATGGAGCAGGAGAGGGAAAGGGCCTTGAGAGAGCAAGAGATGTTTCGTCTTTATTCTGCTGACCCATTTGACCAGGAAGCTCAGGCTAGAATAGAAGAAGAAATCAGACAGCAGAACATAGAAGAGAATATGAACATAGCTATGGAAGAGGCTCCGGAGAGTTTTGGACAGGTGGCTATGCTCTACATTAACTGCAAAGTGAATGGGCACCCTTTAAAGGCTTTTGTGGACTCAGGTGCCCAGATGACTATCATGAGCCAAGCTTGTGCTGAGAGATGTAACATTATGAGACTGGTGGACCGGCGATGGGCTGGGGTTGCTAAGGGCGTGGGCACACAGAGGATTGTGGGCCGAGTTCATCTGGCTCAGATTCAGATTGAAGGTGATTTCTTACAGTGTTCTTTCTCCATACTGGAGGAGCAGCCCATGGATATTCTTCTAGGGCTGGATATGCTCAGGAGACATCAGTGTTCCATCGACCTAAAGAAGAATGTGCTGGTGATTGGCACCTCTGGCACACAGACACACTTCCTTCCTGAAGGAGAATTGCCCTTGTGTGCAAGGCTGGTGAGTGGAACTGTACAAGAAGACTCTTCAGACAAGGAAGTAGCAGGCAATATCAAACATTCAATCAAGGGTCCAGCACGAAAAAAGCATTGAGTCAGGCTATATATAAGCCACTACCACGAAGGAACAAGCCGTAGGTCCCAGGAAAGTATAAGATATGAGCTCATTGGCAATGCCATCATTAAAAACATCTTAGCAACCAGATTTGGCCTTGTGACTGAGTACTCAGATGGGTGACTATGTAAGTCATTGCTGTTAGTCATAGTATATGTGTGGGTCCATTCTTCCACTCCACATCATCCAGGAGTGGGGCTGAAACTTCAAGTTGGTTTCCCAACAATCTAGTGGAGGGAAAATGAGTCTCCCTGTCAGATTACAGGGAGGACATGTCCAAACCAAGACTGCTTATTTTGCATAAGCTCCTAGGAAAAAAAGCCATTCTTTCAGATTACAAAGACCTGTAAACAAAATGATTTCACATTAACATTAACAATAGTTTTATATTACCCCAGCTGTCTGTGTGTGTGTGTATGCCTGCGTGCGTGTGTGTGTGAAAGTGTGCATACACAGTGCAGGCCAGAGATTGAGAAAGTTGATATCTTCCTTAATTGCTTTCCACCTTAGTTTTGGAAACAAGTTCTCGCTGAATCTGGAACCTTCCCAGTGTTGCTACAGTGTAGCTATCTAGCAACTTTATCCATCTTTTTCTAGTGAATGCTAGAAATCCAACTTAGGTCCTAATGTTTGTGCACCCGGCATTGTACTGAGTGAGCAATATCGTCAGCACCTCCAGAACATCTCTCCACACACCTTTTTAGGACAGTATCTCATCCTTCTCAACCCGGCTCCAGACTTGAGGTATACCTAAAGATGATCTTACGCTTCCACCTACTGAGTGCTGGCAGTGCAAGCACGTGCTATCACACCAAGTTTTGTGGTGCTGAGGAGCAGATGCAGGCCTTTGTACATGCCTGGCAACATTCTATCAACTAAGTTAGCATACCTAGCCTGAATTATTTTCATACTCACAGATATGGCTGTTTTCACATTTGTTTTCATTAGGAAAGTTCTGAAAAATGGTGCAGATTTGACTCCATCATTAAGCTAACACTTCTAAATGCCCACTTGGGAAAACATGCATCCTGTTTTATGATGCTTTATGGTTTCTCTATCTCCAGATTCCACTCTGGTCATGCTTATGAAGTCTACCTCCAGACTTAATTTTGATATGTTTCAATGGAGAGGTTTGAAATCCCCAAGACATGTTCCTCTCTTTGTCCTTAAAAGAAAAAGCAATACTTGTAAGAAAAAAAAAATGTGTTGAATGTTTTGTCTTAGTTCTGGCAAGTTTCAGTACGACTAACATGGAAAGTACAACCCTTTGCCTTAACATCTCCCTAAAACATCTAAGAATAAAAGTCAGATCCAGAGACCATCAGATTCAGGGAAATGATTGGGGGCAATAACTTACTAAAAGGGCTTATGTTATAGGGCTGGAGAGATAGCTCTGTGTGAAAATCACTGTTTTCTCTTCCAGACGACCAGGTCAGTTGCCAGAATCTACGTAAGATGGTTCACGTCATAACTAACTGTGACTCCAGTTCCAGAGGGATCCAGTGCCCTCTTCTGGCCTCTGCGAGTATCACTCACAAACACATATACTCGCACAGAGAGACACACATACATACACAGTATATTTTTAAAAGTTAAAAATATTGATATTATATCAATCCTCTAGAAGCCATGAAGTACCAGCCCTGGGTTTTCCTCTCTGTCACATAGACAAATCGTCTACTTCAGGCCTCTACCCATCATTCTTGAATTGCTTCAACATAGGGCTGCTTTGCAGTGGCCAGTACAACAGTGTGACCTTGTTTACCAAGCCAGGTCTAAGTCATCTGAAGAGTTCCTAAAGGTTGTAAGAAAAAATAATCCTCTCTGTTAACCAGATTTTCATTTCTTTGGCTTGATTCTTGGTTATGCTGACCATGTCCTTCTGAAGCAAGTCGACCTGCAGTTCTTCCGCACCCTCTTCTCTAACATTACCTTTGTTCATGTAAAGTGTTACACTCAGCAGAGCTGTTAAAAGATCTGTGGATCAATGTCTTTTTGATCTGTGCTACTAATCAGCACTCAAAATGAATTGTAATTACATACAAATGAAAGACAATCAGAGCCAGTACCAAATATGCTAGCATTACAATGTCACATGAGATCTATTCCAACATCAAATGACCTATCTATTCTACAAAAGTCATTCCAAAAATCACAGAATCTTTAAGATGAAGGATTGTTTACAATCCAAATTTTACATCTCCACTCTTGCTGCACTTTCGTTTCTTTCTTCGCAAGTCGCACTTAATGAGATGAGTGCTCATAGGGTAAGTCTGCTGCAACTTACTGTGTAGTAGTATGCTCACACTGATCAATGCCCTATTCCATCTCATATTCCCTTCTTTCCTCCCCTTTCTGCTTTTAGAAGACTAGCAATTCAAGTTTTGTTTGTTTAAACACTACTTGTACTTAATTTGCATGTGTGTGTGTGTTTAAGTGCCATAGAAGCCAGAAGGGGCATGAGGTCCTTTGGACATAAAGATGAAGTCATTTGTGAGTGTCCTGAGGTAGGCACTAGTGTCTGAACTCTAGACCTGATAGGTAACACATTGGTACCCTCTAAACCCCCTTTCTAGCTCATAGTTTGTTATCATGGAGCTTATTTATGAACAGCATTATTAGCATTCTGAAGAAGGCTTTCTTCTGTGTTGAAGTCAATGGGAGTGATGTGCTCTGTTTTAGGTATGGGCAGAGCACATATTTTCTACTGCTAATTGATATGTTGCTGTTGAATTCAAATAAAATGTTAAGCAGTTACCAACAAAAATATACTTTATGGAATTGAACCCCAGATCCATCAGATTCTTGCTTTATAACTCAACCACCATTTTGAAATTTTACTATGCTAGATATTTATAAGAACCCCTTAACACAAAGAGAGTAGTTAAGAGTATATTAATTCACATGTTTTCCTCTTCAAGCTCCTGTTGTAACTAGGGATACAATTTTAAGTTTAAAAGAAAATCAGTGTTTCATATTTGAGGATGTGTGAATTTTGTTCTTGTCTTATGCCATAAAAAGAGACAAGAAAATATAAGATATCACAACACTTAGAAAACATCAAAGGCACAAGACAGAAATTAGAAAGTGCAAAGTAACACACTAAGGACATATAAACTCCAATGTTGACTGGTGAACAGGGTAATCAGCGAAACAGACACAACACAGCACAACAGATCTGCCCCATAGAACTATAGTTATGACCTACTGTATGCCAAATACAACCTTAGGTGTACTTAGGTGTCCTCAAGCACCTGATGTTTAGTGCTGAAGGTGCTATGAACTCTAACCAGTTCACTGGAAAATCTACCACTTGGTTAGAACTTGGCAAATGTGACTTACAATCTCATTGGTAAGGTTATCTTAACAGAACTAAAATATATCTGTCTAAGTTAACAACATTGCTGATATTTGCATAGAAAATTAAGTTCAAGTTATCTACAAAGCACACCCGTCAAGAACTTTTAACCAAGTGGAGTTGTGAAGTGCTTCCGATATGCTGCCATAATAGGTGTTTATAGCCGTCAATTAAAAGTTTTCCTCCTATTCCTTCAACCTCATCAGCTCCTCAGACCTGGGCAATGCAGGCCAGTTGGAAGAAACATTACAAGTAGACTTTAAAAAGTATGCTTGCAGCCATTCTGTAGACCTCTGAACAGAAAGAAATTGTAGAGGTCTGTGATAAAGGTCAAATGTTTCAGGGATGGAAAAAGTTAATCATTTCAAAATTCTTTGAAAATATTATTATTAAATAAATATAAAGATAATTTAGTATAAGTACTCTAAAATGTTTCAATCAAAATCATACTAGAGTTGAATCTTCAAAATCCTTCAATTTATACAGTTCAGACCTCCCTAGAATGAGTATAAAAGGATATGAGAAAAAGGATGCACAAGACACTAAAAACAGACACAACATTTAAATGAATAACAAGCTCTGAGAAACAGCAATCAAATTATATCATTTTCCCTCCTATTGATATGGATAGAATGAATTGGTCTCAAATATTCTAAATTTGGAGTTTGAAGGGAGTATTTTCTTAAGAAGAGCAGAAATTTCTGACGCAGCACAAAGAGTGATGGCCTCTTCATACTTATGTTAAATCGCCATGAGAGTGTGGAGGGTAAGATGAAAACCAGGTAGAAATGGGCACAGTGGGAGGTAAAGAAAGGATTTGGAGGAGAGATAATCCTACAGGCAGAAATTGGCATGCAAAATACAGACTGGTTGATAACTGATTGAGGGCAGTAAAAAGCCCATGTGTCTGCTCTGCAGAATGCAGTTTCTGGCAGGTAAAGAAAAACTGTGAGCAGACTAGCATGTTGCCATGGTAGCAGAGGGAAAGCAGGTCAGCTCATTTCATTTGGTGTGCTAAGCAATGTGGAGAAAGTGCAATTGCAGAGTAATACTTTCCTTTTTCAACCAGAAGCACAGAAAGAGCTTAGTTCCACAGGATTGAAGCTGAGTGCACAAATAAATTGATCATCAATGGAATTGATGAATTTACCCAAAATGCATTTGTTACCTACTTTGAAAGTCACTGTTTAAGAACTTTGTTCCTCATGTATCTCATTGAGAATTCAAAATTAGATGAAATGAATGGATTTTTATAAGAATTTGAGGAAGCAGTGGTATAGATTCCTATCAGAAATAATCACATAAAGTTCAAGGAACAGATGGGCAGTTAGGGTGAAACAGAAATGAAATGGTCTTTGTTCACACACTGTCAAATGCCATCACTTGGGCTTCAGGACAAAAATTGACAGAAAATGATCCCATTGGTATTCCATAGCCATAGGAGTTTATGTCCCCATATGGCAAGGCTGGTGCTCTCAGAGTCCCCCAACACTGCTATGGAAATATCATTGGCACAGGAAATAAAAACACGGCTAGCTTTCTACCAAGTTTCCAACTTACATTTGATGAAAACACAAATATTTCCCCTACCATCTATCTGGTCTTGCTGATTCACTTTAAA